GATCCAAAGTGTAACCAAAGTGTAACCCAAAGAGTAGCTAAAGTTTAGTCTAATGGGAACTAAGGTGTAGCCAATGTGAAGTCAAATTGTATTCCAAATCTTACCAAAGTGTAGCCAAATTGTAACCAAAATGTAGAAAAATTGTAGACAAAGTGTAATCAAAGTATAGCCAAAGTGTAACTTTAATGTAGCCAAAGAGGATCCAATTCGTAACAAAGTGTAACCAAACGTGTAGCTAAATTTTAACCAAATTGCAACCAACGTGTAGCAAATGTAAAGTCAAATTGTATTCAAAGTGTAACAAATGTGTAGCCAAATTGTAACCAAAGTGTACCTTAAGTGTTGCCAAAGTGTAAAAAAAGTTTAACAAAACGGTAGTTAAAGTGTACCAAAAGTATGCCAAAAGTATAACCGAAGTGGAAACTAGGTGTAAGCAAAGAGTAACCAAAGTAAACCAAAAAATAGCCGAAATGAAACCTAATAGTAATCAAAGTGTAACCACAAAGTGTAACCAAAATGAAATCAAAGTGTAACTTAAGTGTAGACAAAATGTATTCAAAGTGTAGTAATAGTGTAGACAAAGAGTAGCCACAGTGTAACCAAGGTTAATCGAAAGTGTCTCCAAAGTGTAGCCAAAGTGTAACCTAACTGTAGAAAAAATGTGTAGCCAAATTGTAATTAAAGTGTATTGCAAGTGTAGCCAAGTTGTAACCAATATTTATCAAAAGTGTAACCAAAATCGAAACAATTTGTAACCAAAGTGTAGCCAAAGTGTAATCCAATTGCAGTCAAAACTAGGTAAACGTGTAGACAAAGTGTAACAAAAGTGTATTAAAAACGTAGCCAAAGTGTAACCTAAGTGTAACCAAAGTGTAACAAAAGTGTAGGAAAAGTGTAATTAAAGTGTAGACAACGTTTAACCAAAGTGTAACAAATGTGTAGACAAAGGGTAGAAAAATGTTAGCCAAAGGGTAACCAAAGTGTAGCAACCGAGGAGCAAAAGTGTAGTCAAAGTGTCACCAAAATGCAATCAAAATGTTTCCGAAGTTTAAATAAAGTGTAACCAAAGTGTAGCCTAAGTGTAGCTATAGTGTAACCAAAGTGTAGCCTAAGTGTAACTTTAGTGATGCAACAGTGTAAACAAAGTGTTACTAAGGTGTAGCCAAAGTGTAACTTAAGTTTAGTAAAAGTGTAGCCAAAGTGTAACCAAAGTCTAACCCAAAGTGTAGCTAAAGTTTAGCAAAAGTGTAACAAAAGTGTAGTCAAAGTGTAGTCAAGGTGTATACAAAGTGTAAAAAAATTGTAACCTAAGTCTATTCAATTTTTAAACAAAGTGTAGCCAAAGTGTAACCAAAATGTAACCAAAGGTTAGCCAAAATCTTGTCAAAGTGTATCCAAAGTGTAACCAAAGTATAGCCAAAGTGTTACCTAAGTGGAACCTAGGTATGGCAAAAGTATAGCAAAAGTGTACCAAAAGTATAACAAAAGTGTAACCGAATTGTAACCTAGGTGTAAGCAAATTGTAGCCTAAGTGTAACCAAAGTGTTGTAATCTAATAGTAATCAAAGTGTAATTAAAGTCTAACCAAATTGAAACCAATGTGTAAACAAAGTGTATCTATAGTGTAGCGAAAGTGTAACTCAAGTGTAGTAAATGTGTAGCCAAAGTGTAGCCAAAGTGTAGCCAAAGTATAACCCAATTGTAACCAAAATTTAACCCAAAAAGCAGCAAAAACTTAACCAAAGTGTAGTCAAAGTGTAAATAAAATGTAACCAAAGTGTAGCAAAAGAGTATCGAAAGTGTACTCTAAATTTAGCCAAATTGTTGCCAAAGGGTAACCACAGTGTAACCAAATTGTAACTTTAACGTAACTAAAGTATAACCAAATTGTAGCCAAAGTGTAGCAAGATTCGAGACAAAATATAGCCAAAGGGTTATCAAAGTGTAAAAAATTGTAACAAAATCGTAAGCAAAGTGTAGTCAAAGTTTTCCAAAAAATTAACCAATGTGTAACAAATGTGCATTCAAAGTGTAGACAAAGTATAGCCAAAGAGAAACCAAATTGTAGCAAACGTGTAGCCAATGTATAGTCAAAGTGTAACTAAACTGTAACCAATGATGTGTACCAACGTGTTACCAAAATGTCACTAATTGTAGCCAATGTGTAGCCAATGTATATTAATACTTATCCTGATAAAAATCCAAGATGGGTTTTTACAAAAATTATTGACTTACTTGGCGGAAAAAAAGTCTTGATATCTCCAACAAAAGCTTAAAATATACACGCTGAACACACTTGTTTGAAACACACGCCACTACAACTCATAACAGTGACCCCTTCCTGAGAGCTAGGAGATCAATCCAACCACACGTTGTCTGACAAGACTTAACACACAAAAAGCTCACAACATTGGTGAGTTCGGGGAGAGAAGATTTTTAAATATATAAATAATGGTTTCTTTTTTTTTCTTTTTTTAAGCCATAATAGGCAAACGTTTTTCAAATTAAATATTTCATAATTCAATGTCAACAGCAATTCATTTAAAAATAATGGACAACGCTCAGCATGTAATTGAAAGGCCGATGCAAGGAAAATACGTGGCTACTGGTGATGCGAGGCTTTGCGGGCACACCACTCAAGCATAACATTATTGTTTATTTTTTCAGCTGACAGATCCTACTTCAATACTCAACATTAGCACAGGTGTAGCTCATTGGACGGACACATTCATTTTGATATAAATAAATATTGCGTCTTTTTGGGAATCGTTATTTCGGCATAGGGGTGGGTGCACGAGGTGGCACAATCATTGAGGGCACAGGAGTGGGGGCACTTACATGGGGAGAAATTTTCGTTCTAATTCAATAAATTAAATGATTTATTTTTATGTGCATTGTGTTTGCATTGTAGTTTTCGCCAATTAAAGATATAAGTGCAACCAAAATAATATCTAGTTATCATCAAATAGTCCTGACGTTATATACTACAAGTGGGCTAAGTTCATAGCTATAGCTACTACTACATCTATACATGAAACTAGAAATGAAATTACATCTACATTTAAAAGGACGAACATTGAAATGAAGCAACAAGTCAACCTAAAAATACTATTACATCTCCAAAACATTAAGAGAAAATGCATCTACATCTACAACTACAGCTACCCTGAAACTACAGCTACAACTAAAACTAACTCTAAAAGTACATCTACAACTGAAACTACATAAAATTCATCTAAAACTACATCTACAACTTAAACTAAACCAAAGCTACAAATAAATATATATCAAATACTATCGCTGAAACAACTACTTAATCTAAAAATACATCAAGTACAAATACAGCTAAATCTTCAACTTCAAAACAAATACATCTACAACCAAAACGACCACTTCATCAACAACTAATCTACATATGCAACAACTGCATCTACAACGAATCTACATATACAACAACTATATCTACATTAACTACAACTAAGGTATAACTGCATATACATCTACTACATCTAAACTACAGCTACATGTAAAATAACAGTACGGGGTGGATGGAGTGGCCAATTATCTGCAAATATTAATTTTTGGATCACATTCGAGTGCATCAGGGTCTCTTCTCTGCGCTTAAAATAGTTATGGGAAAATTGCTAACATAAATATAACACTGGGTGCTCCGTGGCCGAGCTGTTCAAACTGTTCAAGTAGGTGGACTGGAGTTCAAAACCCCCATCAAAGGTCAAGACAAGAAAAAAAAAGAAAAAAAACACTAGCACCTCGGTCGATGAGACTTGTTAAAATTAGATGACAACTAACTAGATCTAACAGAGCAAAAATTCTGAGATCAAACAGAAATCTCAACCTGCCATCTAGCAGGTGAAAATATGACGCTACTCTTGCTAACCTTTATCACACACACATGTTCACTTGGGTTATCCAGATGTGTGGAGAGGGGGGTGGGAAAAATCCCAGGCCTTATGATATCGTCCTGCAATATACGCCATCATTACATTGTGACGGATGAGTGGTTTGTGTTTTTTAATATTGTCCGAGCAGTGGCGTAGCTGGGGTTTCGTCAACCTGTGCGGTAAACTCATGGTGTCACCCTTCCCCTTCCCCGACTTCAACGATGGATTTCTTCTTGTTGAAATGAGTCCGCAGTTTAACAATGACAAGGGGGGGGGGAAGAATTTGAAAGAAAGAAGGAAAATATATTTAAGAAATGTAACATTAAGTTAAGTTAGAGTTATTTTTACATTAAATTTACTTTATTTAAAAGTTGCTAAGGCCGAAAGGTATGTGCTCTTTAAATATACAATTTTTCAACAACCCGTCTACACTGATTCCAAACATAAAACTGCACTTCTCATGTAAGATAAAACCCAACACCCACATCAATACATTTGTAATAATTAAACATTTATAAACGAATTATTTTGTTGATTCTACAATAAGATAATGTCAAAAATAACTGTTTCTTTTTATGAAAAATGTGCTTTTTGCCAGTAAGGTATTTTTTGTGACAAGGAGCCATCCAAGGTGAACGAGTCCGATCCTCCCATGGTGCTGGTGATTTATTTATTTTTTTTGGCTTGAATTCTGCATATACAAATAATGCTATGATTGCAATAAGAATCAGTGTTCATTGCGTACTAGTAGTGTAGACGTATGGACAAAATACATGCACAAATAATGATTAGCTCGCAAAATAAAACACTATTCATTGCGTACTCTGCAAGCGGTGTAGATTACTGGATTAACTTCATAACAAGAAATGATAAGATCGCATTATAAATCTGCTCAACAAAATCTATTGGTTGTAACTTCATCCTCAACACTAGCAAATAAACAAGAACAATTTTTAAAAAAAACAACAGTATTTTTGAAAATTTCTAAATCATTTGTTTATTAGAAAGAAAAAAATTCAACCCTTTACGCCTTTAGAATGACACAAATCAAAAGTTATCATTAGAAAGTGGAAGAAAAACAAATAAACAAGTTTCATAATTTTACTTTAAATATTTATGCTTATTACAATCAAACCTTTCTTATATTTTAAGAATGTTGTTTCATTAAAACATTTTTTTTTAAAGTCTCAGCATCATATGGATTATTCCATTTAAGTAATACTATTTAAAATAATTGAGTCTCACGACCGAACCTGCTGTAACGTCTGACGTTGAACGTCCCGTTATGAACTCAACAAATTTAGATTTGATGGGGAAAAAGGAAGAAAAACAATGACCAAAGCAAAGCTCATCTGAAAATTTGCAAATCCCGAACCTAAACATTAATAAATCAATTTATAATATTTTAATCAGTTTTTTTTTTTTTGTAATCTGATTCACATAAGTAACGAAAATGATAATGATCATGTGTATGAACACACTGGTGGTCAAACATGCAGGAGTAATTTTTGCTGATGCCAAGACAGTCTTGATCAAAGGCATTATTAGGTTCTCCAAGGCACCAGTTCAAATAGTTTACGCGTCTCGGTCTCCTAACGTACTCCCAGATGCCCTCCGTGTACTTGTCTGTGCCTCCTATAAGTATGCCATAGTAGTTGTGTTTCTCAGTCATTGAGAGGACAAAGTCGTATTCTTCTTTATCATCTATCTCAGCGAGATACCCACAAAATGTGCTACACACGTCAGCAGAGGCAGAGTCCGAAATGTAAATAGCTTTGGACAAGTAGTACGTTTTCCCCCAAAATTCATATATGTCGAATAAGTCATGATTTGTCGCGGAGCTGATACAATCTGTTTATGAAGGAATCATACATTAAAAGTAAATTAATTCAGAAAAGAAGTTTAGAAAATTTAGAAACAAATACGTGTTATTGTTAGTTTGTTATTGTTAGTTTGTTTTTGTTTTTTGTTGTTTTTTTTCTTTTTTCTTTTTTTTTTTTTTTTTTTTTTTTTTTCGGTTTTTTACTTTTTCCAAAAAAAGAATTTGAAAAACTTTAGGGCCAAAAATTTAAAACATTTTTTTTTTTTTTTTTTTTTTTTTTTTTTTTTTTTTTTTTTTTTTTTTTTTTTTTTTTTTTTTTTTTTTTTTTTTTTTTTGTCATTCAGGCTTCTTAACGATCACAAAAAAAGAGATCGAAAAACTTGAGGGCCAAACATTTAAAACCTGCTCAGACAAAGAGATAGTGATGACATAAGTGAATAACTGAGATACGTGGTCACTTGGATTGTATTTGTGACTTGGTTAAATACAGAGCTTAACCAAGTCGAGCTCATTGACACCCAGGCAGACGTGACATTACAGAGCTTATTGAGCTGAACTCATTGACACAAAAGCAGACTGGACATGTTAGATCTCACTGAGCTGAAGTCATTGACACCCAGGCAGACTTGACATGACAGAGCTTATTGAGCTAAAATCATTGACACCCAGGCAGACTTGATATGACAGAGCTCAATGAGCTAAACTCATTGAAACAAAAGAAAACTTGACATGATGGATCTTATTGAGCTGAGCTCATTGACACCCAGGCAGATTTGACATGACAGAGCTCATTGAGCTGAAGTCATTGACACAAAAGCAGATTTGACATGTCAGAGCTTATTGAGCTGAACTCATTGACACCCAGGCAGACTTGACATGACAGAGCTCATTGAGCTGAACCCACTGACACAACAGCACACTTGACATGATAGATCTTATTGAGCTAAAATCATTCACACAGGCAGACTTGACATGACAGAACTTATTGAGCTGAACTCGTTGACACAAAAGCAGACTTGACATGTTAGAGCTTATTGAGCTGAAGTCATTGACACACAGGCAGTCTTGACATGACAAAGCTTATTGACATGGAGTGGTGGCGAAAATCGCGTTAGTTTAAAGATCTGTTCAGTGTCTCTGATTAAACACAATTATCTTTTTGTGAAGTCAACGAAAAATGTGTTGCATCTGAAACTTTGTGGTCACGTGTTTGTACAATAAACTAATTTATATGATTGGTGGTCGAAATATATATGTTCAAATACATAATAATGATGCATTAAACAGGAAGTTTCAATAATAAAAACACAAGTGTCTGATATATGTTTTTTGAAGGCAGTAAAAAAAATCTAGGGTTGTTTTTTTTTTTTTTTTTTTTTTTTTTTTTTTTTTTTTTTTTTTTTTTTTTTTTTTTTTTTTTTTTTTTGTTTTTTTTTTGTTGTTGTTTAATTATCGACTTATCCTTAGAAAGTAACTTAATTGAAATTCAAGTAAATATTCCTTACTAGGTCTAGCTCCAGTCATAGGCTTTAGATTGTGATGTACTGGTGCCGTGAGAGGATAAATTTTGAGATAGAATGCAATTAGTACACATGTGTTATAAAATAGAGATACATTATTTCAAACATTTAATCAAGTCGACACCTCTCAGTACAACAATGTTATTAAGTAGACATCTCTTAGTAAAAACATGTTATAAAATAAATATCTCTTTACCGACTTGTCAGTTTATTTTATTTTCTTCTATTCCTTCTTCATTTATAAACCAGTTGTCCCGTTATTTCTCTTCTGTGGCATTATTTTGAAGTGCAAGAAATTATGTGCCACATATTACTTGGGTGTATTATTTAAAACATTTTCAAATATCTACAATTGTAAATAATTTTTCAAATGAGAAATAAATATTTATTTTTTTTTAATTCAAACGTTTCATTGTTATTTACAAGGTGACAGAGTCTATTCATTAATTTAAAAAGATTGTTAGTTACAAATGGATAGAGTATATTCATTACGTTAAAAAATTATTGTTACTTACAAGTTCAAAGAGTTTATTTCTTAGTTAAACAAGATTTTTAAATACAAGTTCATAGAATCTATGCATTAAGTTAGACAAGATTTTTAAATACAAGTTCATAGAGTCTATGCATTAAGTTAAACAAGATTTTTAAATACAAGTTCATAGAGTATATGCATTAAGTTAAACAAGATTTTTAAATACAAGTTAATAGAGTCTATGCATTAAGTTAAACAAGATTTTTAAATACAAGTTCATAGAGTCTATGCATTAAGTTAAACAAGATTTTTAAATACAAGTTCATAGAGTCTATGCATTAAGTTAAACAAGATTTTTAAATACAAGTTCATAGAGTCTATGCATTAAGTTAAACAAGATTTTTAAATACAAGTTCATAGAGTCTATGCATTAAGATAAACAAGATTTTTAAATACAAGTTCATAGAGTCTATGCATTAAGTTAGACAAGATTTTTTAATACAAGTTCATAGAGTCTATGCATTAAGTTAAACAAGATTTTTAAATACAAGTTCATAGAGTCTATGCATTAAGTTAGACAAGATTTTTAAATACAAGTTCATAGATTCTATGCATTAAGTTAAACAAGATTTTTAAATACAAGTTCATAGAGTCTATGCATTAAGTTAAACAAGATTTTTAAATACAAGTTCATAGAGTCTATGGATTAAGTTAAACAAGATTTACACAACAATTATTTAAAAAACAGCTTAAATCTTCTCATCTTTTATTAAACTGCCCATCAATGTTTGTTATAGTCTTTAGGTTTTTATGTCATTTCTTTGTTAAAAATCAAATATTAGAAAAAAATTAAAATTATTGTTAAGTATGTACAAAACTTCTAATCCAAGATATAAATTTTATTCTTTAAATTAATCAAGTGGTTCTCAACTTTAAAAAAAATATGGTTCCTCTTTATAAAATTTGACATTATAAACTAGATGTTGATGTCTATCAAGTGTTTAGCCATAGTCTATTATCAATAAGAAACCAGCCTATTCACTGTAAGTTATATTTTTATTATAATTTAAAGTGGTACAAATAAGATATAAATGCTCAATGTAACATTTAGCATTTTATTCAGTTACCAATAGAATTCTGACATGTGTCAGAAAACCGACTGAAAGTGTCACGGCCCATTGTTTGAGAACCCCTGCTACAATATATTCATACATTGTCTTTTGTAAAAAATCTTCTCAAATTTGTTTTAAATACCTAACTCATTGTAATAAAGTACCATTAATGACCCACATTAATTAGATAATTATTATATTTTTTATCCTTCAATTTAAGTCATTAATGTCATCATTAAATTATGAAATCATTTTTAAAAATAATATTATCTACAGATTTTTCTCTATTAATTAATTTTCAATTTCTTTTAAATTTACAAAAACTGTTGGAATTATTTCTTTTTTTTTTTTCTTTTTCATTATTTTACTAAAATTACTAAACAATTTTTTGGAGTTGCTTTATATATTGAAATGTCTTTGGGGAAGTGATAAGAATTGATACTGAGCATCATTAATAACATAAGACTGGTGATAAATTTAATTTTTATAAGATATCCATTTTGAGTTATTCTGTTTAGGAAATTTACACTTTGATTAGAATAGACAAACTTTGTTTATGTGTCTCAGCTTGGAAAAGGGAAATAATTTACAACTGATATTTTTATACTGTATTTTAATCTAAACCAGATCAGTTGCAGTATATTTTCAGTTTGGTTTTGACAAAATTTGACTTAGACACAAGAATCTTTAAGCTTCAGACTAATTTTCCCTCGTAATAAAGTGTTTTGTATGCAAAATTGTGTTATAATAAATTGTGCTCCATTAGTTTATGTATGTGAATTTTTCTAAAAATAATATTTAGATCTTAATTTTAAAGATCTTTTTTTTAAATATTATAACTCTAAACATTTCAAGACGTTGGATTTTTTTATAGAAAAAAAAATTGCTATCACAAACCGTTTCATTAAGAAATTTTTAAAACATTATATAAAAATGGTATTGAATATCGCCCAGGTCATTAAAATCAATACCTGTTCTTTTTGGTGCAGTGGTCGTTATGGCACAACCAGAATGACTATAATAGACACAGCGCCTGATCTAATGAGAAAATGTAAGACGATCAATAAGATATAATTTACTTCCAATTGATGATGTAGTTGATGAATGGCGGGATATAAAGTTATTGAATAAAAAATAATACGTTTTATTTTGAAATGAAGCTAAAAGTTATTCTCATTTTTACACACAAAAAATTCATTTTACTGCATGAAAATTAATTAGAAAAACACTTTGTAGTTTCAATCATAGATCTGCTAACTGCCGTGCAAGCTACTTTTTTTAAAGAAGCAGATATTGTCTCCTTTAAAAATAATTTCTTTTGTTAACGATAAGAGTAAGGACAGAAATATTTGAGTACAAACAAATTATAAGTAAACAAACGATATACTAAAAAAAAATCAAGAAAATTAGTTGTTTTTCTTCATTAGCTGAAAATACTTAGTCCGTGGGCACTCCTATGGAAAGTTCAGTAAGCCCAATGCTGCCAATGGTACACTAAGTTAAATGACTGCTAACGTAACATGAGACAAGAATTTCGGTTACTGATAGGAGTCAGTCCGTAAATAAAAAATGAGCAAATCTTCTAATGTGTTTGTAAATATACAAGTTTCATAATTAGCATATACCGTAGGGCTGAAGTGTTCATTACTTGGGCAGGTTTTTTCATGTCCCTTGTACTGATCGCATTCATAATACTTGACACATGATGCAGGATGGGGACGTCTGCCATATTTCAAAAATATGCAAGGATCTGAAATGAATTTGTAGGACTATTACAAACATTTTTATCAATGAGAAGATTGATCTTTTTTTTAAAAAAACATGTTAAATAATGATCGACTGAGTCATGAAATCAGATTCCCTAGTAAATATTTACATTGACATTTTATACTCCAGAAATTTAAGAATCTATCTGTATTTAATCTGCGTGACAGAACATTCTGAAAACGCTTAATCGTAATTAATATATCAGATCAAGTAATTGCAAAGAAATGTTTAATTCAATTAAATTTGTAAAGTCCGGTAGATCGGGTAAAGTCAATATATTATATAAAACACAGTTCTCGACTATTGTAATAAATATATCAGATCAAGTAGTAGCTAAGCGATTTTGAATTCAATTAAATTATGAAGTCTCGTAGCTCAGGAGATGTCTACATATAGTCAGGGTTTCGTTCAGGCATATCTCGGGGGGGGGGGGGGGCACTGCCCCCTGGGAAAGATAAGTTCCTCCCGGAGCAAAATATGCACAATATAACAATTATATATTTTTTATTAAAAACGACTCAATTGTCATTTTAAAGAGTTTTAAAATTAATAATATCTGGTGCCTTTAACCGATTACAGTTAGTGGATTAAATAAAATATCGTTCAATATATTCGATGATCCGTATATTTAAAGTTAATATTGTTGAATCCTGAGTTCTCTCCCCTGTACTGTAAACACTATATACCTATGATATTCAAAGCTAAAGCGACACAGTTCCAATCTTAAAATTTGCTGATGTTACCACCATCGTTGGTTTAATATCTGAAGGAGAGGGCTTATAGCGCAACTTAGTTACAAGCTTTATCAATTGGTGCGCTAAATTTGTTTTCCAGCTGAATGTCTCAAAAACAAATGAAATGGTTGTTGATTTCAGGAGAGGGAAACACCAGGTTACAGATTTGAACATAAAAAAACAATAGATAGAGAAAGTAGAGGCATACAAGTACTTTGTTGTCACCATTAATAATAAGCTACCATGGCATTAGCACGGCCAAATGATATATAAAAAATTACAAGAAACACTGTTCTACCTTTAAAAAAACTACAATTTCGGCGTAAACAAACAAGTCGTTAACTTTTTCTACAGTGCAACAATTGGAACCATACTTAATTTCAGTGTTAACTGCTGGTGTGGGAATTCAACGTCTGATATTAAACACCGCATAAACCGACTAATCAAGAAAGTTAGGAACATAACACAAACTAAACATCCTTAACTTGAAGAACTATTTGAAGAAAGATGTTCTTGTAAAGCTAAACACGTTTTGAATGATATATCTCACCCTTTTCATCACAGATACTTAGGATCGTTCCGTTCGGGACGAATTCTTTCCGTCAGGACGTGGACTGAAGGTATAAAATTCTTTTGTTCCCCAATCTGTACGAATTTACCAGCGTGCTTCCCCTAACTTCACAAATCTTAAGGAAATCTAATAAGTCCCCGATATGGCTCAGAGAATCAATTAATGGCTGTTTTTTTTTACTAGTGAAATAATTTAATATAAATGTCTTGTGTTCAAATTGTTTTCTTTGTGTGCTTAAAATATACAATGCAATCAAAAAAATATCCATTTGGTTGGATCAATATAAGAATCTTATCTTATCTTATGATTAAGTGACACCTGCATTTTTTTTTAAATTGGCATCTCTTCCGTTGCTTTGTAATTAAGTGTAGAATGTTGCAAAATTAAAGTAAATTATTTGTCACAAGGCATATTAAAAATTTTCAGGGGACTACACAAATTTAAGAATCAATAAAAACTAGGATACCCTCAAGGGCGCCACAACCGAAATGCGTTTAGTTCGTGTCCCCCTGTTGCGGCGTTAAAAATGTCCATGATCCTTAATATGGCTAATTGTGGCGCCCCCACAGACGAAAGTTGGCTAAAATAGTTTTTAAAAGAAAAGTCGAATTGAAGTATGCACTAAAAATACACCTCTGCATTCTGAAGTTTGGTTACTGTCTTCAGCACCCTCAGTTTATGGCTCAGCATTCCTTCACACTAATCATTGTTACATGATGAATTTAACCCTAAGAGTGTGCCAAAGTATTGCCATGGGGCAGCCTGCCATAACAGGGGTGAATTCAGTTTATGTATTACACTGGCACCAAAATGCATCCCTAGACCCTTACAATTAAATTTCGCCTAATTAAAATGTCTAATAGATACATTGAATTCAACTATACTCTAAAAGGCACCTCACGATTTTCTATATAAAAAAAAGAACATTCTGTGGAGAAGGCTTCCCAGTCCCATCTACTCAAGATTCATACTTACTCATACTTACTTATGGATGTTACCCGCCTGAGGCATATGCCGTCCACAAGAATTTTCCATTCATCTCGGTCATGTGCTTTCCTTTCCAGTTGCTTCCTGGATTATCCCATACTTTGTGTGTCTGCCTCCCGCTCACGCCTACATACATTTTTGGAAACTCCTGTCCCTTTTTCCCGTCGAATTTCATGTTAAGGGATGGTCTGGTGACGTTATCTGGGGTTAGCGGGGAGTTTGCCCTATCCACTTCCATCTTTTCCGTGTAATGTCTTAACCAAAAGTCTCCTGGTATGTCCTATCTAGTAAGTCTTTTTTGATGATAGTGTTTGGCCATTGGAAGTTAAGGATATTTCCAAGTCAATTGTTTATGAAGGTATGTACTAACTGCGTAATGCTCACTGTTGCTCTTCAAGTTGCGGCTCCACAGAATAGGACTGTTTTAACATTTGTGTTGAACATTGAAGTCCTCCATTATTTCCAGTGCAGTGCTTGCCAAAGAGATGTGCTTTTGGTTCACTGAGTTTACCTTCAAGATCTTTGTATTGCTTATATTTATATCAAAATGAAAGCAAATGCACCGTTAACTTCTGCGCTATATCCCGATGAAAATGATCACTAATTTTGGTTACGATATGTATTGGCGTAGTTAGTATAAGTGCCATCACGGGCGGCCAAATATTTTGTTGATCTTCTTTTCATGATACAAACAAATTCTGCTTTGGTCCAAAAATGCCTCACATCCATATAATTAAAAAATGATACCTGGGTAAACACCCTGATCCTCCCCTTTCTACGACACTGCCCGTGGCGTATCTAGACTGTTTGGCGTTAGGCGATATTATTCATTTTACGCCCCACCCCCCTTCCCCAATTCAAATCTGAAACTAATTATTTTCATCCATTTAATAACATCAAAGCCCGTTTTGGAGCCCCTGCGAGTCTGCGCCCTGGGTACGTATGTCCCACCACCAAAAAAAAAAATCTGAAATGCACCCCTGGAGGCGGGAAGCTCTGAAATAAATACTGCATTTATTCAAACATCCTTCTCAAATATTTTTACTTGTCACGCTTTTGATTTAACTTGAATGACCTAATAATTCAGCAACACTTCTAAAGAGACGTAACTGCTCATTCTATCATTCTATAGACGGAAGGCAAATCTTTACGAGCAAGACTTTTGTTTTTTAAGTGTAAGATTTACGCCTTTAATACAACATTTCAACGTGTATTTACGACAAAAACAACTTTTTAAAGAAATGTTTTAAAATGAATGAATAAATACATATAAATGTCGTTATAACAAAATTTGGATCATGTTGAACCAAGGCCTACATCAATATGAACCAAGGAATACATCAAGTTCAACAAAGGCCTATATATAAATACTGATAAATGGCATCTGAACAAAAGCTAAATGCATACATCACATTGAAACAAGGCCTACATCAAGTTGAAAGACAGACAAGCATCAAATTTAACCAAGGCCTACATCAAGTTGAATCAAGGCCTATATCAAGCTACACAAAGGCCTATATCAATATGAACCAAGGCCTACATAAATTGAATCAAGGCTAACACCAAGTTTAAGCCATGGCAAAACATCAAATTGAATCAATCCCCACATCAAGTTGAACCAAACCCTACACCAAATAGAGACACGGCCTAAATTAAAGTGAACGAAGGCCTAAATCAATTTGAACCAAGGCCTACATCAAAATGAAACAAGGCCTACATCAAGTTGAACTATAGCTTACAAAAAGTTGAACCGTGAAACTAGATCATGTATAGTATATGAACTCTGGAGTTAAAGGCCTACATCAAGTTAAATGACACATTTTAAAAAAATTAGCCGAATGCTTAAATATTCATTTTTTATTTAAATTATCACAATGACTCTAATTAGAAAAAAATCTTATATTGACACCTCCCTGGATGTAATAGATTATTAAAATAATTCTTACCTTGACAGCTCAACGGTATGTAATAGCTTATTACAATAATTCTTACCTTCACAGCTCACCGGGACGTAATGGTTCATTAGAAAAAGCAACAAGACAGATTTCTGTGTAAATACAAAATGATATTAAAATCAAAGTTCGGCATTTTTTTAAAATTAAATCTCCATCACGTGTGTTTATATGTGGTCATCAATGTTCCCTTTAAGCTGCGCGGCTGAGCAGCAATCTCACAGACGACGCGCAGCAGTTTTGAGTACCGCGCAGCTAATTTCCACTTAAGTGTGTGTTTGTGTCTGTAGGCTGTAAAATTTTGCACACAAAAAATTATGCGGTAAAAATATGCACACAACTCTATGATTTTGCACACGAACCAACAAACCTTAGAGGGAACATTGGTGGTCATCCATGTGTATATGTGAGGCTAACCATTATTGTTCATATAGAAGTTATGACAAGATGGTTCTTATTGTTCATCATCATTATCATCATGTCCCTTAGTCCATAAGACCTTTTTGGGCGCCACAGATGACATGAAAGCTATCCTTCTCCATTCCTCTCTGCATTCTGCACTTCGCACAGTGTCGCCTTGTTTTAGTCCGGTTGACTCTTTGGTGTTATCTTCCCATCTTTTTCTCTGTCTTCCTCTACTTCTCCCTCCTCTCGTTGTGATCTGCATGATTTCTTTGGCGAGCCCTTGTTTTCTTTTCACTTGACCATGCCATTCCAGTTTGCGCTTTTTTACAGTCACCAGGAGGTCATCGTACTGCCCCATTGCTTGACGAATCCTTTCTTTCACTTGTTAATTGGAGATATGGTCTCTATAGCAGATGCCAAGAATGTTTCTGTAACATCTCATTTCCTTCTTCTTCTATAATATATTAATGGCCTACGATCAATTTGTTAATCATTTTAGCTCTTATGCATGTAAAGGAGATTTGCAATGCTTCTGTGCCTGGTGTTGATGAGGACATTCCACTGATTTCCAGAGCCACTTTGTGAGGGAATCAGGCCCTGAGGGTTTGAAGGCTTGAAGCAATAGACACAAATGAGTCTAATGTTGTCGCCACAACTGTTCCTTTTGAAATCTTGTTCCAGAAAAGGCTGCTCTGAGGCAGGTTGTTATGAGGAAGGCTTTTTAGTGGCAGGCTGGTCTGAGGCAGGCCGTTCTGAGGCGTTATTGTGAAGGCAGTCTTTTCCGGAGCAGGGTATTCTGGAGAAGGCTCTTTTCTGGCAGGCTGCTATGGAGAAATTTTATTGTGGCTTTGTATTATAAGGCAGGCGGTTCTGAGGCAATCTGTTCTGTAACAAGCCTTTCTGATTAGGCCTTTCTCATAGGCAGGCTCTTCAGAGGCATTTTTTATATGGAGGGCGTTCTGTGGCAAGCTGTTCTGTGGCAGGCTAAAATGAGGCAGTCCTTTTATAATACAAGCTGTTCTTCTAAAACAGGTCTTTCAGGGGCAGGCTGTTCTGAGGCAGGCGGTTCTGAGAAAGGCTGTAGCCAGACCATGATGAAGCTTGGATTTTTGATGCAGGCTGATCTATGAAAGTCTGTAATGAAACGGGCCGTTCTGAGGCAGGCTGTTCTGATGCGGGCCATTCAGTTTGTATCTGTTCTGAGGCATTGAGTACTTGGAGAAGCTCTTCTGTTATCAAGTTTTTATCTAGCATTCGGTTATGAGAACGCTGTTCTGTGACAGACATTTATGAAGATGGCCGTTGTGAGACAGGCTGTTCTGAGCAAGGCCGTTCTGAATCAGGTCATTCTGAGACAGGTTATACTGTGGCAGGCTGTTCTGTTGACTGCTGTTATGAGGCAGTCTGCTCTGAGGTAGTCATTTTTTAGCCTAGCTGTTTTGTAGCAGTCTGTTCTGAGGAAGGCAGTTCTGAGTCCGATCGATTTGAGATTAGCTACTCTGTGGCAGGCTGTTCTGTAAAATGCTATTATTAAGCAGGCTGCACTGGGCAAGGCTGTTCTAAAACATATCTGTCTAAGTTATGACATTCTGAGGCAAGTTGTTTTGTAGCCGGATGTTATAAGTAAGGCCGTTCTGAGACAGACTGTTATGGAGCAGGCTGCTCCGTCCATTCTGAAGAAGGCTGCTCTGTGACAAACTGCTATGGAGAAAGTTGTATTTTTTCGCAGGGTATTATGAGGCAGGCTCTTCGGAGACTAGCCTTTCTGATACAGTCAGTTCTGGGGCTGGCCGTTCGGAGGCAGGTGGCACTGTGACATTTTAATATGGGGAGGGGGGCATTCTAAGGTAGATTGTTCTAATAAACACGTTCTGTTTCCAGAATGTTATAAGGCCGATTGTTTTCAGTCTTGCTGCTCTGTGTCAGGCTGTTTTTTTTAAAACTGGTCTTTCTGAGTCAGGCTGTTCTGAGACATGCCGTTCTGCGGCAGACTGTTCAGAGACTGGCTGGTAAGATCGAGGCTGTTCTTGTCTCGCCGTCCTGGGGCAGTCTTTTCTCAAGCAGACCATTCTGGATAAGCCGTTCTTTGGCAATTTATTCTGTCAGGACGTTCGGTGACAGTCCGTTCTTAAGAAGTCTTTTCTGTGACATGCAGCTGTGTGGAAGTTGGTATTTTGGCAGGCTATTATGAGGCAGGCCGTTCTGATGCAAGCTCTTGTGATACAGGCTGTTCTGAGTCAGAATGTTATGTGGAAGGCCGTTCTGTGGCAGTCTTTTCTTTGGCAGGCTGTTTTTAGACCAGTCGTTTTGAAGAAAACTTTTATGAAGCAGGCCGTTCTGTGGGAGGCTATTCTGGGGCAAGCCGTTTTAAGGGCGGCTGATGTGATTAAAGCCGTTACGGGGAAGAATGTTCATTGTCAGGCTGTTCCGAGGCACGTCCTTCTGAAGAAGGCTGTTTTGTGGCAGGATGCTTCGGGAAAGGTTTATTGCGATAGGGTATTTTGAGTGGGGCGGTTCTGAGGCAATCTGCTCTGAAACAGACCGTGCTGAGACCGAGACAGGCTATTCTTGGGCATTTTGTTACGATGGGGGCTATTCTGAGGTGTGCTTTTCTGAAACAGGCACATCTGTGGCGGGCTTTTATAAGGCCGATCTTTCTTAGGAAGGCTATTCTATGGCCGGCCATTATGAGGCAGATTGTTCTGAGTCAGGTCATTCTGAGACACTCTGTTCTTTTCTGTAGACTGCTATTATTAAGCAGGCTGCTCTTGTGCAGGCTTTTCTGAGGCATGCTGTTCTGAAACATCTCGGTCTGGAGAAGGTCGTTTTGGGGAAGGTTGTTCTGTTGTGGGCTCTTATGAGAAAGGCTTCCTCTGGCAGGCTGTTAAGAGACAGGCCCTTTTAAATCAGGTTGTTCTCGCGCAGGCTGTTATGAGGCTGACCATTCTGAAAAAGTATTTCTTTGGCAGGCTGATCTGACACATGTTGTTCTGGGTTAGGCCGTTCTGAGGCAGGTTGTTTTGTAGCGGACTGTTATGAGGTAGGTCATTCTGATGCAGACTCTATTGAGACAGGTGGTTCTAAGGCAGACTGTTATGAGGCAGGTTGTTCCGAGGCAGGCTGTTCTGACGAAGGCTGTTCTGTGCTAGTCTGCAAAGGAGAATGTTTTATTTTGGCAGGGTAATGTGAGGCAGGCGGTTCTGGGCAGTCTGGTCCGAGACAAGCCGTGCTGAGGCAGGCCATTCCGAGGCAGGCGGTACTGTCGCATTTTGTTATGAGGATGGCCATTCTGAATTAGATTGTTCTGATACAAGCCTTTCTGAGTCAGTCTGATCTGAGACAGTCTTTTATGATTCAGCCTGTTCTGGTCATGCCCGTCTTATGCAGGCTGTTCTCAAGCAGACCGCTCTGAACAGGCCGTTTTACGCAAGTTATTCTGAGGCAGGCCGTTCTGATTCAAGCTGTTATGTGTCAGGGCATTCTGAGGCAGGCCTTCTGAATCAAGCTGTTATGTGTCAGGACGTTCTGAGGCAGGCCTTTCTGAACCAAGCTGTTGTGTGTCAGGGCGTTCTGAGGCAGGGCGTTTTCGGGCACTCTGTTCTGAGAAAGTCGTTTCTGGTGCAGGATTATCTAACGCAGGGTTTTCTTAGGAAAGCCCATCTGGGCTGGCCATTCTTATGCTTGCTGTTCTGTTTTAAGAGAATATAATTTTTTCTGAGTCTGGCTGTTCTGAGATCCAGTGTTCTGAGCGTACTCGTTTGAGTTATGCTGTTTTTATCAAAGCTGTTCTGTGGTAAGATTTTCTGAGCCAGGCTGTTCTGATCCAAGCTCTTTTTAATCAAACTATTCGGAACTTGACTGTTTATTCATTTTCTGTGACATTATTTTTAAATGCATTCAATGACATTCGCACAGCAAATAGCTAATCAAAGATTTCAATATTCATATATATATAAATTTACTTTACTCACCAAAAGAGTCATTGTCCTGGATTAAGTGGAAACACAAATACCAACGAGATTATTTGCTTTGGTCGATTGAGGCGATACCCATTGAAATGTCAGACTGCTCTTAAATAGCTTACAATTTTAACATTTTCAAATTAGATTGCGTAATTCATGAGAGAGGTTCTCAAGCTTTTGCATTAATAACTTCTTTTGTTTGTCCTGATCTTAAAACCAAGCTATTGTAAACTTCCTTAAAGTAATTCTAATGATATTAATTTAATTAATTAAGCCTGTCATCAATTCCATCGTTGCATCTGACTTATAAGATGTTTTATTCTAGTTTTAAATTTTTAAAAATCCTGAACTAAGTAAATATTTTTTTTAAATTTAAGAATGGATTCAGATCAAAAAGAAACATTTATTTCAATTTTAAAGGATATACTAAGTAAAGAGATTTATTGCTACAGATAAATGATATGCCTACAATAAAAGTTCAATGATAAAAACAAAGACAGAAAATTAACGCCATGGTGAATGGAGCATCTTTGAAAAAAAAAAGTTTAAGTGCAATGTCATAGAGGTAAGATATGCTGAAAAGTGTAAATAACATATAATAGAGATATGCTGAAAAGTTTACATAAAATGTCATGGAGATGAGATTTGCTGAAAAGTGTAAATAAAATATCATGGAGGTGAGATATGCTGAAAAGTTTAAATAGAATGTCATAGAGGTGAGATATGCTGAAAAGTTTAAATAGAATGTCATGGAGGTGAGATATGCTGAAAAGTGTAAAATAAAATATCATAGAGGTGAGATTTGCTGAAAAGTTTAAACAGAATGTCATAGAGGTGAGATATGCTGAAAAGTTTTTTTTAGAATATCATGAGGTGAGATATGCTGGAAAGTTTAAATGAATGTCATAGTGATGAGATATGCTGAAAAGTGTAAATAAAATATAGAGGTGAGATATGCTGAAAAGTTTAAATGAATGCCATAGAGGTGAGATATGCTGAAAAGTTTAAATAGAATGTCATGGAGGTTAGATATGCTGAAAAGTGTAAATAAAATGTCAAAGAGGTGAGATATGCCGAAAACTTTAAATAGAATGTCATAAAGGTGAGATATGCTGAAAAGTGTAAATAAAATACTATAGAGGTGAGTTATGCTGAAAAGTTTAAATAGAATGTCATAGAGGTGAGATATGCTGGAAAGTTTAAATGAATGTCATAGAGATGAGAAAAGTTTTCAATGATTAAGTGCAGTTTAATGGGACACATGAATAACATGCGCCTACCTCGTATAAAACGCAAGTGGGTACAGATTGTAAAATGGTCGGTAATTCCTGATATGATTTCACGCTTGTTCCCATTTTACGAGAACCGATGAGACACCTGTCAGAAAATTTGGCAATTTATTTAATCCATTAGACTTAAGATACGATCAGTAAACGTGTGTCAGAGTTGTTTGTGAGCTGTAAAACTTACCTTAGCATAGGGCGGCTCGTGTCTAATATGTGTAGGGCTGCTGCTACAAAAATATTGTAAGCATTATTTTAATATTGTGTTGTGCCAATAAAAACTCATCAATGCAGAGAAAAATATATTTCATGATAAAAGCCTGAAGAAAATATTTTAAACTGATTTTTATAACGATGACTACTGACGATGTGATTTTTTTTTAATCCTAATATTAAATAATATGTGCAAGTATCAACAAACCAAAAGAAACAAAGGAAAAATATGTGCACTTTATGTTATTAATACATTTTGATTTAAAATATGAACTCTGCAATTTCGCAGTGTTACAGTAGGTGCCGCCTCTGAATTCTAATGTGCAAAACCTATTATTTCATTGCACCCCTTTTGTAAGCTATTAAATTCCATACTTAAAAAAAAAATAAAATGGAATGTAAGTGTAAGATTTAAATCACATGAGAAGTTGTTGTTGTTGTTTTAAACACCCCAACAAACAAAGATATCTACAAACGGATGAGTTATTAAGATGTGTTCCTTTGCTGTTTGAAATTTAGTATCTTTTAAGCCACACCTTGTTATGATGGTAAGACAAAAAGGGGGAGGGGCGTATTTCATGTCAAGTCTAAACAATCGATTGAATACAACACTAAACAAACGGCTTGTTGTCACTGAATACAACAATAAACACTATGGGGCGGGGCAAACATTTAAAATCAGATGCCTGTTTATGTGAAGCTTAAAATTAGGGTGGCTCCAAATAATTGGCTTGAGAAAAACGGCCTGAGATAAATCGGCCTACGCCAAAACATCTGCCACCCATTAAGCGCCATTTATTAACATTTTAAAATTTAAATATCTATTTTATCAGAATATTTCATAATTAATTAACAATAAAACCACTTTTTTGACATAATAGGAACGATCGCCTACAACCATTTTGGTCTGATCACATCTCCCCGGGGAGAGGGGGGGTGACATGTCTGGACAACAAAGAATTAAAGTTGTATTTGTTAAAAAAAACTCTAACGTCATTTGTATAACATCCAAAAAAAATTATAATAATATCATTTCTTTAATGGAAATCTGTGTTTACATGTTTCATAAATATTTTAGTTTTTAATAATGATGAATAAGTGTTCATACAATCATCAGTGATCATACAATCATAAGTGAGCATACAATCATTAGCGTCCATATAATCATCAGTGATCATACAATCATAAGTGATCATACAATCATTAGCGTCCATATAATCATCAGTGATCATACAATCATAAGTGAGCATACAATCATTAGCGTCCATACAATCATCAGTGATCATACAATCATAAGTGAGCATACAATCATTAGCGTCCATGCAATCATCAGTGATCATACAATCATAAGTGAGCATACAATCATTAGCGTCCATGTAATCATCAGTGATCATACAATCATTAGTGAGCATACAATTATCAGTGATCATACAATCATCAGTGATCATACACAAGTATATGTGACCATACAAATCATCGATGATCATCAAATCATTAGTGTCCATACAATCTTTAGTGATCATACCATCATCAGCGATCATACGATCATTAGTGATCATTCAGTCATCAGTGAACATACAGTGATTAAACAATCATAAGTGATTATAATATTATAATTGATCATACATTTATTAGTGATCAAACAATAATCGGTGATCATGCAATCAACAGTGATCATTTAATTATTAGTGATCATACAATCATCAGTGATAATATAAGTATACAATCACTAGTTATCATACACAATCATGCAATCATCAGTTATCATCTAATCATTGATAATCATAAAATCATCGCATTCACTGCTGACATGGATGTATGGATGTAGCATTAAGTATGACCGAGTTCATGGATAAACGCGATTGAGTTGTGAGTTTTTTAATGACATAGTATACATGCTATTTAAAAATACATTGAATGCCATGAACCAATTGCTGGTACAAGTATAGCTATTTTTATTTATTTATTTTATAGTAATTTTAGAATAATCCTCCTTGTCCCTTTCATATAACGTGATGCAGTTGTACTGTGTCAGGTCGTGATGTCTGTGATGTTATGTGAGTAAGCGATGGTGTTTTTTTTTTCGTTAGTTGTAACCGCTTTAATCACACGTATTCTGTGTTGCCACGCATGACCCATGACCTATGACTATGACGTGAACCATGACGGTGTGTTCAAAAAAAAAGAAAAACACGTTCGAAAGAGAGGTGTGCACTTTTTTCTTTTTGGGGAGTGAGCTAGTCATTTGGTGAAAAAGAGAGTATCTTAGTATTATTGAGAAGAGATGCATTAAAATTTGTTAACGCCAGTTATTCTGGGTTAGTCATTGTTGTGGTCTGTGTTTTAAATAGCAATAAATAATTAAAGAATAATGAACACTTTAAACAGTCTCGCCATTATTTGTCCTGTTACTACACGTTCAGCCTTGTAGAGGCCTGGAGCCAACAACAGAGTACTAAACTCTTAAATTGTTTTCTTTTGCCATACTTTTTTTTTTTTTTGGATGGGGGAGGGGGGGGGCCTCTGCCACGGAGCACTGGACACTGACACTGTTTTTGTGGCCATACGGAAGGGACTTAGTATTCGATGACATTCTATTGCATGGTCATGAGAAGCTGACCTACTCTTAGATGATGCTCTATTGTGTGTGCTGTGAACTAGATTTAGGGGCGTGAATGTTTGTTATGGGAAAAGGTGTTTTATGTAGAGAGTATATGTGTTGGGTTATCTGTTATGCTGAGTTTTTGTGACGTATTCTGGTCAGGGGAAATGACGTTGTTATGGTGGGGATCGATGGCTGTGCTATGTTGGTTTTTTTTCGGAATTTATTGTATCTTTTTTTTTTAAAAAAAGACGTTTGTTTTGTTAAGCATTGGTTTGTGAAGTTACTACTTAACCCCAGACAAAACGAAGCCATCGGACTTGGTAAGAACAGGTTGGTAACAGTGTAACCATGCGGAGGTGACCAACTCTTTGATGACATTTTATTATGTGATCACACGGAGGTGACCCTCTCTTTGATAACATCATATTATATTATCACACGGAGGTGACCCACTCTTGGATAACATTATATTATATGATCATAATGAGGTGACCCACTCTTTGATGATATTCTATTATGTGATCACACTGAGATGACCCACTCTTTGATGACATTCTATTATGTGATCACACGGAGGGGACCCACTCTTTGATAACATTATATTATATCATCATACCGAGTGGACTTCCTGGTAAATAATACCTGTCACACCGAACTGTCGTTAATAATGAGCAGAGAATTGTAAATATATTTACTTCGATGCTTAAGCCAATCAACACATTTTAAATTTGAGCGCTTAATTTTGTTCTTTTCTCGCTATCAGTTTATTTTGCTATATTTTGCAGAAAATTTGGAGTTTTTGCACACGTTTCAAATAATGAACTGCATGTTTCATCAATTACATTTAAGTTAGTAGAGAAATAAGCTATGAAAGAAGAGATTTATTCACCGAGATTTGCAGTTTTGTTAGTTAGTACCAGCTGTGTGTTCTATGAGACTAGATATTCGGTAACGCTTTGAAGCAGTGCATACCATTGAACGAAATAATAGTTTTATCTTAAAATTTGATTTCTTAGACGCTTTCATCATGAATTAGATTTCTGTACCATTTTGTGTGGACTAAATATTTATATAAAAAGTTACTATTCGCCTTTTTCTGTATCTATGTATCTATACAACTGGTCTACGCCATGTTGTGTAGACTACACATCTATACAACAAGTTTATGTCCACCATTTCCTGTGGACCACCTATCTATACAACATGTTTGTGTTCGCCATTTCCTGTTGACTACACACCTAAACAATAAGTTTATTTCCGTCATTTCCTGTGGACTATACATTGATAAAACAATTGGCTGTTCGTTATTTCATGTAGACTACTTATTTATACTTTTTCGCCATTTTATGTGTACTAACCTAACCATTCAAGTTAAAAGAAAGGTTTGTCTTTATTTTAAACAAAGTTATGTCTGATATTTCATGTAGACTACATATCTATGCAACAAGATTTGTGTCTACCATTCATTTAAACTAAATAGCTGTACAATAAGTTTGTGGCCGCCATTTCTTCTGGACTACATAATTAAACAAGTTACAAGAAAAGTTTATCTTTATCCTAAACAATTTTTGATGTCGAAGTCTTTTTGGACAAAACCTTCCATTTCTGTTATTCGCCTCTTTTCAAGTTTTCTTCTACCATAAATATATTAATTTTTATCATTTATACAGTAGAATTGTTTAAACTTAAACATTTTAAAAATAAATAAAAGTTTCGAATCTTAATGGAGGCATTTGAGAATGCCAATAAAACTATAGACCCATTCAAAACAAATGGGTGCCACTGGATTGAGAGTCAAAGATGTTCCATTTTTTTTAAATTGTCTTTTCACGGTGTTGTGTTTTATATCAAAGTTCCTTTTGTCGGTCTGCGTAACTGCCATATATGTCGATAGTAATCAACGTGTGTTTCTGTTAATATTTTTTCATCAAATATGACTATATTTTTCTGTTAAAAATAACTTTAGTCTTCATTTTGTACTCTGCAAGAAGTGTAGATTAATGGATTAAATACATACGCAAATATTGATAAGATTGCCATATGAAACAGTGTTTATTGTGTACTCTGCAAGCAGTGTAGATTAATAGATAAAATACAAACAAGAAATGATGAGATCACCATTTAAATTTGTGTAACGAAATGTATTGTAATTTCATCCTCAAAAAAAAAAAAAATAATAATAATGAAGAACAATTTTTAAAAAATATATTTAAACATTTCTAAATCATTTGTTTGTTTGAAGGAAAGAATTTCAACCCTTCACCCCTTTATAATGACATAAGTTAAAAGTTATATTTAGAAAGTGGAATAAAAACAAATAATATAATGTTGTTTCATAATTTTACTTAACATATTTATGTTTATTACAATCAAACCTTTCCTTATTTTTGAGAATGTTTTTTTCATTAAAATGTTTTGAAAAAGTCTCATCAACGTATGGATTATTCCATTTGAGTAATGCTATTTACAATAATTTTGTCCCCACGACCAAACCTGCTGTAGCGTCTGACGTTGAACGTCCCGTTATGAACTCAAACACATTTAAGATTTGATGGAAAAAAAAGAAAGAAAAAACAATAGCAGAAGCTAGCTCTCTGAAGCTGGGAAACCTCGACCCAAACATTGATAAATCAATGTATAAACTTTAATCAGTTTTTTGCATCCACTTCACATAAGTAACGAAAACTATAATAATTGTGTGCATGAACACATTGGTGGTCAAACATGCCGGAGTAATGTTTGCTGATGGCCATACAGTCTTGATCAAAGGAATTATTAGGCTCTCCAAGTTCAAGGCACCAGTTGAAGTATTTTACCCTTTTCATTGTCCTTTCATACTCCCAGGTGCCCTCCGTGTACTTGTCGGTCCCGGCTATAAGTATGCCGTAGTAGTTGTGTTTCTTAGTCAGTGAGACGACAAAATTGTATTCGCCTTCATCGTCCACCTCAGCGAGATATCCACACATTTGTTTACACATAGCAGCAGAGGCAACGTCAGAAATGAAAATAGCTTTGGACAAGAAGTATGTTTTTTTCGAATAATCATATCTGTCGAATAAGTCCAGATTTTCCTGGCTGGGGACACACTCTGTTTATAGAAGAATCATACATTGAAAGTAAATTAATTCAGAAAAGATGTTTAACAAATTTGGATGTGTACATGTTTATTTTGTTGTCATTCAGGCTCCTTCAAGATCAAAGTGTATATAGAGAAGAGTTAAAAGACCTTGAAGGCGAAACATTTAAAACCTGCTTAGACAAAAAAGATATTGATTATATATGTGAATAACTGATATATTTGGTTGCAAAGACACGATACGTGGGATGTATGTGTGACTTTGTTAAATACAGCACTTATTGAGATGAACTCATTGACACAAAAGCAGACTTGACATAAAGTGGTGGGGGAAATTGTATTGGATTAAAGTCATTTCAAATGTTGCTCTCATTAAACACATTGATCTTTTAGTGAAGTCAGCGAAAAAGTCGCTACATCTGAAAATTAGTTGTGACTGGTTTGTAAAATTCAGTAAAGTATATGATTGGTTATCGAAATGTAACAGTCTAAATACAATGATAATGACGCATTGAACAGAAACTTTCAACAATAAAAACACAAGAGTCTGATGATTTTTTTTTTTTTTTGAAGGTAGTAAACTAAAAATGTATGAAATGTATGGTTTTATTAGTTTTTTTTTATTTATCGACGTATGTCCTAAGAAAATCACTTATTTGAAATTCAGTTAAATACCACTTACGAATTTTAGATCCAGGCCTGCGCATAGTTGGTGCTGCGTATGTGAGATGATGAATTTTGAGATAGAATGCAAATAGTACACGCGCGTTATAAAATACACATTAGTACAAACATGATTAAAAAGAGACATTTCTCAGTACAAACGTGTAATATAATAAACATCTCTTTACCGACTTTTCCTTTTATTTTATTTAATTCTATTTCTTCTTCATTTATAAAACACGTTTCCCGTTATATCTCCTTTTCTGCACTATTTTGAGGTACAAGTAATTACGTTCCACATATTAATTGGTGTTTAGTCTATTATTAACACATTTCCAAATATTTATCATTATAAATATTTTTTTTTAAATAGAACTAAACTTTTTTTTTAAAAATAGAGCTAAATTTATTTAAATTGAAACGTTTTATTGGTGCAAAAGCTTGTTAGTTACAAGTGATAGAGTCTATTCATTAAGTTAAAAAGATTGTTAGTTACAAGTGTATAGAGTCTATTCATTAAGTTAAACAGATTGTTAGTTACAAGTTGATAGAGTCTATTCATTAAGTTAAAAAAATTGTTAGTTGCAAATTTATGGAGAATATTTATTAAGTAAAACAAAATGTTAATTACAAGTTCATAGAGTCTATACATCAAGTTAAAAAGTTTGTTACTTACAAGTTCATATAGTCTGATCATTTATTTAAAAATATTAAAACAATAATTATTTTTAAAAAGACACATCTAGACTTGTATTGAACTGACTTTCAATGTTTGTTATATTCTTTAGGTTTTTATGTCATTTCTTTGATCAAAATCATTTTTAAGTATGGACATAACTTCTATTCCAAGATATGTCTTTATTCTTTAAATTAATCAAGGGGTTCTCAACTTTTGAAAATGAGGTTACTCTTTATAACATTTGACTGGTTGTGGAGATCTTTAACCATTAGTTACAAAAATTAGTAAGAAACCTGCTGTTGACAACAACCAAATGTTTATTCATAGTGTACTGGTGATAAAAAAATAGATGTTGACAACTACCAAATGTTTATTCAAGGTGTACTGGTAATAAAAAAAAACTAGATGTTGACAACTACCAAATGTTTATTTATAGTTTACTGGTAATAAAAAAAACTAGATGTTGACAACTACCAAATGTTTATTTATAGTATACTGGTAATAAAAAAAACTAGATGTTGACAACTACCAAATGTTTATTCAAGGTGTACTGGTAATAAAAAAAAACTAGATGTTGACAACTACCAAATGTTTATTTATAGTTTACTGGTAATAAAAAAAACTAGATGTTGACAACTACCAAATGTTTATTTATAGTATACTGGTAATAAAAAAAACTAGATGTTGACAACTACCAAATGTTTATTTATAGTATACTGGTAATAAAAAAAAAACTAGATGTTGACAACTACCAAAATGTTTAGTCATAGTGTACTGGCAATAAGAAACTTTAAAATTTTAAATTTAATCATTGGCAATTAAAAACTAGCTGTTGACATCTACAAATATTTAGTCATAGCGAAGTGGGAATAAGAAACAAGTTGATGACATTGACCAAATGTTTAGGCACAGTGTACTGGTAGTAAGAAACCAGCTGTTTACATCTACCAAATGTTCATTTATAGTGTACGGGCAATACGAAACTAGATGTTGAGATCTACCAAATGTTTAAGCATTGTCCATAAGCAATAAGAATCTAACTGTAGACATCTATAAATTCTTTAGTCATACTTTACTGGCAATAAAAAAACTTGCAGTAGACATCGACCAAATGATTAGTTATAGTTTACTTGCAATAGGAAACTAGCTGTTGACGTCTACCAAATGTTTAGTCATTGTGTAATTGCAATTAGAAACAAGCCGTTGACATCTAAAAAGGTTTTATCATAGCGTAGTGGGAATAAGAAACTATTTGTTGTCATCTACCAAAAGTTTAGTCATAGTGTTTTGGCAATCAAACTAGCTGTTGACATCTACTAATTTTTTAGCAATAGTGTTCTGGCAACAAGAAACTAGCTGTTGACATCTACCAAATGTTCTGTTATTGTGTACGGCACTAGAAAAAGACACTAGAAATGTTTAGATCTACCAAATTTTAAGCATTGTTCATGCAAAATAAGAATTTAACTGTTGACATCTACCCAATGTTTAGTCATAGTGTACCGGCAATGAGAAACTTGCCGTTGACATCTATCAAATGTTTATGCATAGTGTACTAACAATAAGAAACTAGCTTTTGACATCCAACAAATGCTTAATCACATGAACTGGCAATAAGAACATAGCTGTTGACATGTATCAAATCTTTATGCATATTGCATTGGCAATTAAAAAAAACCAGCTGTTGACATCTATCAAATGTTTATGCAGAGTTTACAGGAAATAAGAAACCAGCCTATTTACTTTAAGTAATATTTATGTCATAATTTAAATTGGTACAAGTAGATAAAATGCATAAAGTAAATTTAGTGCTTCATTCAGTTACTAATCGAATTCTGGCATAATGTCAGAATACTGCCCGATAGTGTCGCGGCCCATTAGTTTGCTACCCTATATTCGTACATATTCTTACGTAAAAAGCTTCTCAAGCTTGCTATAAATGCATATCTGATTGTAATAAAGTGCCAGAAATGACAAACAGTAATTAAATATTTGTTTCCCCTTCATCTAATGTCATTGATCCAATGTTTAATTTATGAATTTAACTGATCAAAATGATATTATCTGCTAATTTTTCTCTTTTTATTAATTTTCAATGTTTGTTTTAAATAAATTTTTGACCTTATTTTATTTTTTCCACGTTATCTTAAAATTACTATACAAGCTTTTTGTGGTTTCTTTAATATGGAAATATCTTTGGGTAATTTTGTGTTATTTCGTTTAGGAAATTTACACTGCATATTAGGTGATGCTAACTGTGTGTGTGTGTGTCTCATCTTGGAAAGGGGAAATTTGATATTTGTATACCGTATGTTGATCTACACCAGAACAGTTGCACTATATTTTGAGTTTGGTTTTTACAAAATTTGACTTAGACACACGAATATTTAAGCTTCAGTCTACTTTCTCCTCTTATAAATGGGTTTTATCTTTTTGTGAATTTCTAAATAGTATATAAATTTCAATTCTAAACATTTTTATAATGTTATAACTCTAAACATTTCACCCCAAAAAATTGTTGTCACTAACTGTTTCATAAATACATGTAAATATTTTTTAAGGGACTTGAATATCGCGTAGGTAATTAAAATCAATACCTCTTTTAGCTGTTACTGTGGTCCTCGTTGTGTCACAACTGGACTGACCTATTGGGACACAGTGTCTTAACTGAGAAAATGTAAAACGATGGATAAGATGTAATTTGTTTTAAAGTGATTATATAGTAGATGAATGTGGAATTTTAAATTATGGAATACAAAGAATAATAATATGTCTTTATTTTAATTGAAATAGTAGTTATACTCATTTGAACAAAAAAATGTCATGTTGCTGCGTGACCATTATTTAGCAAATAGCATTGCATCTCAATCGTATACCTTCTAAATGCGGTGTAAACTACATTTTTTTAAGATGGGAATAATGTTTCCTTTCAAAGTAAATTATTTTGTTAAAGCTAAGAATAAGAATGAAAATATATGAGTCTGAGTACTAACTGACACACGAACCCTTACTCTCTCAGGTATACAGATAGAGCTTGCTCAAACAGTGCGAAACTTGGGTGTCTACTTAAACAGAACACTAACAGTGGAAAATCCCATTAACATGCTTTGCATGGCGATTTTTCTAGAGCTGCTCAGAATTAGTCATATCAGACCTTTCTTAACGTTAGATTCATCAAAGAGGCTGATGTCTCCATTCATGCTATCACGCATGAACTATTGCAATGCTCTTATGGTGGGTCTTCCAGCAACGCTCCTGGATAAAATTCAAAAAGCACAGAATAATGCGGCTCGCATTGTTCTTCAAAACCACAAGGTCAACTATGCTAAAACACTTCTGATAGAGTTGCATTGGCTGCCGGTCCGCCTTCGCATAGGGTACAAAATTGCAACTCTGTCCTACCGCTGCTTGCATGACCTGGCACCGTCCTATCTCAAGGCGGTACTGACGCCTTATGTACCCACTAGACAACTCCGCTCATCTGATAGTGGCAAACTCTCGATACCACGTGTTTGTTTGAGACTTACTAGGGGCGCACTTTCGCATTTGCTGGCCCAACAATTTGGAACATTCTTCCTTTCGCTATCAGAAACAGCCAGACACTGGAGTCTTTCAAAACTGATTTGAAGATTTATCTTTTTTGCAAACACCTGCTGGGGTGATTTTTGTCTATCTAGCTATTGTATTTAGGTGTATATTGGCCTGTGTGGTTTATGGTTGCAAGGTATGAAAGGGGATGAAGTGTGATTTTAAATAATCTTTATTATTATTATTATATGAAGTAGAAGATAACAAGCGATATACTCAAAACATTGAAGAAAATGTGTTGTTTTTCTTGATTAGCATGAAAATCGCATGCCGTGGTACTCGTTTGTAAAATTCAATAAACCCAATGCTGCCAATGGAGCAGTTGAGTTAAATGACTGCTGACATAAATATACTTGACAAGAATGATGGGTACTGTAAAGAGCCAGTTGTGAATTAAAAAATGAATCTTCTGATGTTTTTGTATAAACAAGAAGTTCTATAATAAACATATACCTGGGCGCTGAAGTGTTCTCCACTTGGGCATGTTTGTTCTTTTCCCTGGTATTGTGAGCATTCATAATACTTGCTACACGATTCAGGGTGTGGAACTTTGCCATATCTCTTATTTGTGCAAGGATCTGAAATGAGTGTGTATGATCAGTATTAAAATGTGTATCACTGATAGAATTGATCTTAAAAAAACTATACATATATAAGAATGAGCTTCAGTGACATAACGCCAAAGTGGAGATACGATTTAAGTACGTTCGGATTCCTAAAAACAATCATAGTTATTTTCTATTATTTTACGGAAATCGAAAAAAGTTAAATGCGCAAAAAAATATTTTAAAACTGCTTTTATTTTATTAAAATTTAAAGTTATATTATTATAAATTACAAATACATTTAAAGTATAAACTAAGGAACGATTTTAAGCATTTTAAATGTGTTTGAAAGTTATGAAAAAATATAATAATTTAAAAAATCATGATCAAAGAATTACACCGTAATCACATTTATCGGGAAAACCCAAGCATCAGTCATTTTAGTGTGTCTTTTAGTGTGTTGTTAGTATTGTGAAATAAAACTAGAATTAATTTGTTTTAAATAATCACACAAATGACTTCATAGCGCGAATAACCTGTTTCGCAAAAACTCTTAGATTTCTATAATTTTATAACCGCGCGTGTTAGATTTCTATAATTTTATAACCGCGCGTGACAAAACTGATAATTTATTTTCAATTCTTAAAAGTAAAATTAATAAATACAATTGATTGCTTTTTAAATCGTTAATAAAACACACACACATTTTTGCTTTGTATATTTAATAAAATTGTAAAAGTTTTTTTCCAAAGATATAGGCCTATACTTTTATTAAATTTACAACGTAATAAAAACTAACCTTAAAATATAATTCTAATAAGAAAATGCGGTTTAAGTCAATCAGTGCAGCGCAACTCCATAGCTAAATAGCATTCACTAATCCAATTATACCTCATACAAATAAGAACGAGCCATATGTTAGTTTGGGTATGGAAAGGACTACAATCAGGTGGAAGATTTTCTAAATTTATTTAAATCTGGGTTGGGAAGGGGTTGGTCACTTTGACCCAGGCAACACAAGATACGTCTCAAAAAAATGAATTAATTTGATAAATAATTAACCTTCTTTGGTACATTCATATCGGAGGTAAGAAATAGGATGTGTACATTTTTACGTGGCTGACAATATATTTAAATCCTATGGTATTACATTTGTGAAAAAAGAGATGCTATGTTCTCTTTTTACAAATAGGTGAATGTTCTTTTTGCTCAAATCAGCACAAGATACGTCTAAAAATAAAGGAATGAATTTGATAAATAATTAATTATCTTGGGTAAATACATGTCGGATGTAGGAAATAAGATGTGTAAATTCTTACGTGGATGACAATAGGGTTAACTCCTATGGTATTAACTTTGTGAAAAAATAAGATGTTACATTCTCCTTTTACAAATATTGGTAAGTTCATTTTGCCCAAGGTAATACAAGTTACGTTCCAAAATAATGGAATTAATTTGTTTAATAATTAACCATATCGGAGATATAAGGAAAAAGGATGTGTTCATCTTTACGTGGATGACAATATATTTAAATCCTATGGTATTACATTTAATTTGTGAAAAAAAAGTGATTTTAAATTCTCTTTTTTACTAATATGTTTAACAATTAAGAAAATTAATGGCGTTAAAAAATATTGGGTACATTTATATAAGTTATCCATGAATATCAAAACCCAATCATTTTACACACTTGAAAATTAAATTTTGACAAATGAAGATGAGTTAATATTTTCTTTTTAAAAAAAATATGAAAATATATTTTTTGTTGTTACTTAGCAAAAAGTAAAGAGGTGTGTATTTTTATGAGATTAACAATTTTTTTTTTTAAAGACAATCAAATCTGATTCATGTACCGGTAATACAAAATATAGTTATATCATATATAGAGTTTTTGTTGAAAATTTAAGCTTAGGTTTTTTAAAAAATGTTGAGAGAAAAATGTTGTAATTCAAGGGCACGAAAAAGGTAAATCTAAAGTATTGCTCTAGCGTAGTAATTGTCCCTCAATTAATTTCTTTAGTGACAAAAGTGATATAATTAGTTATAATTTAGACTGGTTAATTTAAGTTCATGTTTAGAGGGGGGAAAGCAGTTTAGGCACCTGAAAGGGTGTAGGGTACGCGTATCATATAGAGCAGATAAACACTTCTTAAAACCTAATAATGTTAGAAACATAAATATCATTACATTTTAAAAGTTATGAATTGGGATGAGTCTTTGCAATAGCAGTTAGAAATTATCGCAAAGGACCTACCATTATTATCCCGATAACATCGGGTCATTTATTCTAGTGTTATATCTGATGCCCAAGCAAATATTTACATTTACATTAACATGTTATACTCAAGAAATATAATAGGATGTCTACTCTGAATCTGCATGACAGAACATTCTGTAAGCGTTTAATTGTTATAAATATATTAGGTCAAGTAATGCAAATATTAAACACAATTCTTGACTATTTTACTTTCCAAGCTTATTATTTAACTTGATTAAGCTATAGGTTCAATAACCCTTCTAAAGAGGCGCAACTGCTCATACTAAAGAAGGCAAAGCTAATGGTTCAATGACTCTTCTAAAGTGATGCAACTGCCCATACTAAAGAAGGCAAAGCTAATGGTTCAATGACCCTTCTAAAGTAACGCAACTGCTCATACTAAAGAAGGCAAAGCTAATGGTTCAATGACCTTTCTAAAGAGACGCCACTGTTCATGCTAAAAAAGGCAAAGCTAATGATTCAATGATCCTTTTAAAGTAACGCAACTGTTCATACTAAAGAAGGCAATGCTGGTGGTTCAATGTAGCTGACCCTAATAAAGGGACACAACTGCTTTTTACTAAAGAATGTAATAATTTACAAATTATGACGTTTCTTCATTGTGATATTTACGCCTTCAAGACTCCATTTCATGCTGTGATTTTTCTATATTATATTTACAAAAGAACAACAATTTATATATATAAATACTAATAAATACCGATTGGGACGAAAAATATATCAATTGAAAAAATTTTAAATGCAACATCAAGGGGAAGCAAGGCTTAAATCAAGCAATTTGAACCAAGGCCTACATCAAGTTTAACCAAGGCCTACATCAAGTTTAACCAATGCCTACATCATGTTTAACTAAGCCCTACATTAAGTTGAACCACAACACTAGACTATGTAGTGAACCGAATGTAAAATTAAACTAAATGTTAAGACATACAATTCTTAAAAATAATATTCATTAAAATATTTATAATTACAATAATTCTTACCTTGACTGTTCACCGGGACGTAATAGCTCATTAGAAGAAGAAGCAATACAGATTTCTGTGTGAATATAGAATGATCTTGTGTATGTGTGTGGCTAGAGATGCCATGTGCAGGTGTTTGGCTAACCATGTGTGTAGTTACATAAAAATTATCCGGTTTCTTTTTTTTGGAGAGGCTGTTTGGGGTTGAGGGACCTTTCTTTTGCAAGATGACCTCACTGTTCTAGCACATTACAAAGGAATGGTAAAAGTATTGCTATCATTAATCGAATATATTCTAATCTACAAAGGAAATATTATTTGCACAAGAAGCCTGTTATGGCGTCTGCAATAGAAATTGTTATACTGCCTTTTATAGAACATATTATACAACCTGTTATAGAGCTTGGTATAGAGTGTTTATAGAGTTTTATAGACCATGTGATACATATTTTCATATAAACTGTTATAGAGCCTGTTACAGAGATTATTATAGAGCCTGTTATAAACTGTGTTGACCTATTTTTGCTTCACCCAGTCGGGTGTCGAGCCTTGGCAATCATCTCTTGATTTCCCTTATGATTTTGTTACTTGCATCACCAATTAACATTGTCATACGGCCTGTCAAAGCTTTCTCCCGCTGATCTTGATTGAAAAAGTTTGTTTACAATTTTCAGAATGTCTACGTAGAAAATACTCTCTGACCCTTTCATTTTTTAATTATTTTTTTTTTACTTTCTTGAGAATTTCTGTTCGGGAGGGTTCTCACTCCCTTACTTTGAATACGGAGGTCAACAATAACTAACATATTCATGTGACTTACCAACCCAAAAAGATATACAATATTGTTACTTTGTGAATGTCGATCAATTTTTGCCCCATACTAGTATTATACTCTTTCACTTGCCCTGCTATAAGTTTAACTATTTTTTTCTGCATTTTTTATATCAACTCAATAAAATGGAATTGGTTAGTTTTTTTTAATACTAGAAATAACACGTGTACTACATGTGAGGCACATAACTTATAATTTTACAGAACATATTTTGAAAGCTTTATCAAAATGGGAAAAATGCGAGCCATAAGTTGGAAGCACGATCACTTCTTATAGAATTTATGATAAGATTCTCATATTGTTCATATCGAAGTTGGGATCAGATTTTCCTATTGTTCATATGGGAATTGTGATAAGATTGTGTTTATTGTTTATATAGACGTTAGAAGTTTTGACAAGAAGTTTATTATGGTTTGTATAGAAGTTAGCAAAGGTGCCTCGCTTTTAGAATTCTTTGATTTATTCCAAATCTTTTGTCCAAATTTGCCATGCAAGATCAAGTCAGTCATGAATGATTGCAATTTAATGGTGAATCTCGGGCAAACAAATGTGTTCTTTGTTTGACTTTTCTAAAATTATCAGCAATTTCTCGCAAGTTATGGTTAACCGTGAATGTAATGAAGACACCATACACGCCAAACTTTGAGAATATCTACATTGCATCATGCCAGCGCTCTCTCATATTTTTCTGGGATCCTTTGAAACCTTAAGACAGAATAACTGAGACGCCAGCCGCTGTGCCCGTGTTCTGAGCCAAATGGACGACATGATAGGCGAGCCATTGATAGCATTCTGCTCGTAATGATCGTGGATTTAATCGAATGTAGATCAAGTTTTTGTCCCCCACCTGAAAATAAGGATCTACAAAAACATCAGCTCTCATTTTTGGGCTATAGTCTTCGCGAATCGCTGTTAGTGCACCTTCGAACTGTACCATGCTGAGTTTTGTACGAACACCATTATTATTTATTAACCAAAGCTCTCCGTACACTTCGCACTCTCACTTTAGCTGCCATCCAGGTTCACCGTATGGAAACAGGTCTGTGTAAATCTTTGAATTCAAGTTTGGGCGTTTATGCATTTCGAGGAAGATGGGAAATTTAAACTAGAATGTTCCAGAAATTTCTGCATAGTTCTGCGAGGATGTATAATGGGATTTTTAAAAAAAAAGTTTATTGTAACGTTAACGAGATCCACCAGTAAATGGAACCCACTGATAACGCGATCGCATGGGGTAACGGTAATCTAACGGGATCGGTATTCTAACGGGATCGGAATCCCACATGTATCAGAATCCTATTAGAAAACTTGAACCTGCCTGGATCGGTTATCATCCTCAAAATTTGACAGGCAAAACATTATTAATTAAAAAAATTAGGATAATTCTTGCTGATCCCTGACACTAACAGGGTATTCTCATCCCATCCACTGATTGTCTTTAGACGGGACAAAAATCTAGATGACCTTCTGGTTCATAGTCGCCTTCGAGCTGACCCGTCTGCATTTGAACTAAACCATGCCCCAGAAACCGATGTAGGACGGACCTAGTCGGAATGTTATATATGTGATTGTGTGCCGTAGATGTCATTACAGTAATAGAGGTGAAACAGGGAGAATATTGGCAGATAGACTCACAGAACATCTATTTGATATTGAATAAGGCAAAATTTCCCCAGTCTATTCACACTTCAACAGAGGGCAACATAAGGTGAATTTGGTGTATCCATTACGGCGCTAATTTCTTGCACAAACACACCAGAGACAGTGAAAATGGAAAACAAATTTATTGGGGGTCATGCGACCCTTTCAGGATAGCCACAGCTATGAAACCTCAAGCAATTGCTGAGGATTTGCTGTTGCCATCAGCAAAAGATATTGATCGCGTTATGATCCGAGACTAATTTGTTATGAAATTGAGTGCAATTTCCTTCTCTAACGATACTGTCCGAAAAAGAATAGATAACATGTCTGCTGATATTCTTGATATCGATCTGGATTTCAAAGTTTGGTAAAGAATGAGTCACCAAATTTAAAGTCATGGGAACTCACTGATTGATTCATCGGCAAATATTAGCAACGAAGGTGCTGCTACAAGAGTTCCAAGAAGTTGGGGGTCGTCACAACATGATGAACTGCAAAAAAGGGTTCGCGGCGTTATAAAGGTTGAGAACCACTTTTATAGGCATTCTGTTCTGAGACAGGCCATTCTGACGCAGGCTGTAATGGGCTGGCTTTTCTGTGGCAGGCTGTTCTGAGCAATGCAGTTCGGAGGCAGGCTGTTTTGATTCAGGCCATTCTGAGGCAAGCTGCTAAATGGCAGACATTCCGTTCTAAAGCAGGATGTGCTGCGACAGGCTGTTCTTGGCAATACTTTTATAAAACAAACTGTTCTGAGACAGAAAGTTCTGTGACAGCCTTTTCTGAGGTGCACCGTTCTGGGGTTATGAGAGGACAGCCCTGCCTGGAGCAAGCTATTAAATGCAGACTTTTCTGGGTCAGGCTGTTATGTGGCAAGCTATTCTGTGTCAGGCCGTTCTGATGCAGACTTCTCTGAGGCAGGCTATTCTGAACAAGGCTGCTCTAGATCAGAATGGTGTAAAGCAAAATGTTCTAATGCAGGTCGTTCTAAGGCAGGCTGTTGTGAATCAGACTGTTCTTGGGTACACTTTCCGGGGTTAGGTTATCCTGTTACAGACTATTTGAGGAAGCTGTTAAATAACAGAGCTTTCTGAAGCAGGATGTTCTTTGGCATGCTGTTATAAGTCATGCTGTTCTGTGGTAGCATGTTCTGAGCCAGGTTGTACTGAGACAGATTGTTTTGTATCAGGCCGTTTTGACGCAGGCTGTCTTGAGGCAGGCAATCAAGGCAATCATGTGGCAGGCTGTTCTAATTCATGCAATTTAGAGGCAGAATATTTTGAGACTTACCGCTATGGGGCAGGCTATTTTGAGGGTGGTCGTTCTGAGGCGAGCTGTTTCGACAAAGTCCAATCTGAGACAGGCTTTTTGTAGCAGGCTGTCCCGTTGTAAGCAGTTCTGAGGCAAGGTGTTCTGACGTAGGCCATTCTTAAGCAGGATTCTTTGTGGAATTTTGTTATGTGGCATGCTGTTCTGAGGTATGCTATCCCGTGTCCGGATGTTTTGAGTCAGACCATCCTGGAACAGGATGTTCTGAGACAAGCTGTTCTGACATACGCCATACTAAGGCATGCTGTCCTGAGACAGGTTTTTTTGGGCATTCTTCTCTGTGGCAGGCAATTCTAAGGCAGCCTGTTGTGAAGCAGTCTGTTCTTATAGAGGCTTTTCGGGTTAGGCATTTCTCGTCCAGGCTGTTTCTTACAGGCTGTTCTAAAACAATCCGTTTTGGGAAAGACTGTTCTGAGACAGGCTTTTTGAAAGACAGGCCATTCTGTAGCAGGCTGTTGTGGGGAACGCCGTTCTTAAGCAGAATATTATGATTCAGGCCGTTATGGGGCAGGCTGTTTTGAGGCAAGCTGTTCTGATTCAGGCCATTCTGTTGCAGGTCCATGTGCGGCAGTCTGATCTGTGGCAGACTGTTCTGGAGCGAGCTGTTATAAGACCTGCTGTTCTGAATCAGAAAATTGTAAGACAGAATGTTTTTAGGAAGACAGTACTGATGTATGCTTTTCTTTTGCACGCCATTCTGAGGCAGGCTCTTATGAGACAGGCCAGCTGTTCTGTGTCAGGTCGTTTTGATATAGAATACCTGAAACATGCTGTTGTGAGGCAGAATTTCCTGAACTAAGGGGGTTGGTTTTAGGCTGTTCTGTCCCCGGCTGTGATGTGACATGCTGTTCATAGGCAGGCTGTTCTTTGGAAGGGCTTTCTGAGCCAGTCCCTCCTTAGCCAGACTTGGACAGGTTGTCCTGATCCAGATAGTTGATTTATTTTCTGATACATCCTTTTTAGATACAATCTAAAAATTTCATTCGCACATCTACTAGACCAGGGGTCTCCAAACTACGGCCCGCGAGGCCCTCTCATGAGGCCCGAGGAGACGTTTTGCTAAGGAAAAAAAAATTATGGAAATGTACGTGTATCCTGACAAGATCAGACGCCGCTTATGTGGACGTTATGTTTTTACCGAATTAAAATAGAGGCACGCAGTAGTGCGTTATGTTTTCTAACTGATGATTACTTTGCAAAACCTTATTCGCTGTTTAGTTTTTCTACTGCCTTTCACAGTCAATGAAATGAGCTGATATAACGCCATCTAGTGGCTGGACTTTGCCCGCCGTGTTGCAGACATGTGTGAAAACATCGTGACTCAAATATCGAAAAATGCAAGCAAGTTTCGCCAATTTTTATTTGCTCCACCTCTCAACTGCTTGTGTTTGTTAGGGGTGTGTGGACGAAGACATGAGCATAACACAAGATCTGGCTTCCCAAAGAGCAGATGTGAAATGAGGAAAAAAAATCTGCAATCAGTGTTCCTGCATTGTATTATTCACCAGAAAGCTTTTTGGGTTGAATTTGTGGACATTAGCAGTGTACTGAATCCTGTGGTGAAGATGGTGAATTTAATACGGTCACATGGGCTCAACCATAGACAGTTCAGAGACATTTTGAAAGATACAGACACATAATCGCTAGATTTACCATATTACACAGCAATACGATGGCTAAGTTGTGAGAAAGTTCTGTGCAGAGTATTTAAGTTAAGAAAGGAAATAGGTGACTTACTGGAAAGTAAAGGCAAGCCACAGCCATTAGTGTCTGATGAAGAGTGTGTATGGAAAATGGCCTTTGATACAGACATAAAAAGTAATTTAAATTTTTTAAACCTAAAACTACAAGTAGAGGAAAATCAAGTTTCTGATCTATACACCAACTAAAGGCCATCAGATCCAAATTCGTCTTGTTTTTTTTGTTTTTTTTTTTGGAACAAGTACAGGCTAACAACTTGGTGCTCTTTCAGCAGTGCAATGTCTTCATGGCTGATGCATGAGCGGAGTTTCCCAAGTCATTTGCATGCGAGATCATCAAAGACCTCCAGCTGCATTTTCAGCAGCGTTTTTCTGACTTGGATTTAAATGCAGAAGCAGTGAGACTTTTTAAAAACCCATTTGAAGCAGATGTGACCAGTAGCCCAGAGGAACTGCAGCTGGAGGTCATTAAGTTGCAAGCAAATGACCTCCTTAGACACAAGCTCAAAGACGGACTGGTGGGTTTTTACCAGCTTTCACCCAAGGAAGACTTTCCTAATTTCAAAACGTTTGCATCAAAGTACCTTTCAATCTTTCGAACAACATACCTCTGTGAACAAATATTTTCAAGAACGAAGTACGTGAAGAACAATTTGAGAGCAAATGTGTCTGATGATAATCTCAGGTCACTGTTGATGTTAGGGACATCACATCTAAATCCAGCAATGTCTGCTAATAAAGATCAATACTCGGAGGTCGAGAGTCCATCTCTTAGGACCTCTTGTCGCGAAACATAGCCTAGTAGTCCCTGGGGACTCCGGCCATGCAACTCGGCCTTGGGTAACGGGGGGTTTTGGCAGGTTTCCCGCAGGTGTTAATGTGTCGTATGTGTTCTTATATAACAACTGAATGAAATAATATTACATAAATAATTAAAAACAACATCCATGTTTTGATTTTTTTTATTTGGACCTCGAGTGTGTAGTCGGCCCTCGAACTACTGTTTGATAGTTAATGCGGCCCTCGGGCTGAAAATGTTTGGAGACCCCTGTAATAGACAATCAAAGCTTTCAATAATCATACATTTTTACTTCACTCTTCAAAACACATCTAACAGACAATCAAAAGCTTTCAATGATTATATATATATTTTACTTTGCTCACCGAAACAGACATGGTCCTGGGCTAAGTTGAAACTCCAACCCAAAAAGCGTGTCGTCTTTGGTCAAGTGTCTTGTCTGACTGCACTAAATAGCCTACTGTCTACAACAAATTTAAAACTTCCATTTAGATTACCTACCTCGCCAGAGAGGTTCTCAAACTTTTGCCTTAATTATTTCATTTCTCCAGGCTGATTTTAAAAACAAACCTATCTTAAACGTCCTAAAACTGATTTTAATGGCATTTTTCAAAGTAGTTAAACCACCCCTTAATTTATTGCGCTTAAAGTGGCCTATAAGACATTTTTTTCTCAGTTTTAAATTGAAATCCTGAATTGTGTTATTGTTTTATTTATTTATTTTTACTTTAGAATAGATTCAGATCAAAAACAAAGATTGCAATTATAAAGAATAGACAAAGCAAGATATTCGTTACAACAAATAAATGATATCTCGACAATAAAAGTTCCAGTGTAAAAATTAAGGTAGAAAATTAAAGACTTGGTGAATTGGCATCTTAAAAAATGTTAATTCGAATGGCATGGAGATGAGATATGCTGGAAAGTTTCAATAGAATGTCATAGAGGTTGAGATATTATTATTACTGTTAGTGATCTTATATAGCGCGATACCTAAGCTTTTGGCTTTGTTCTACGCGATGTACATAGAAATATTAGCAAACATAATCATGACATCAAAAAATAACCTACATTTATTTTAATTTTTAAAAAAACAGCTATATAACAACAAAACAAAAACAAATGTATATTCGTACCACCCATCCAAGAATTTTACATGTCAAGCTGAAAAGGTTTCAATGGAATGTTATAAGGATGAGATGTGCTTGAAATGTTTCAAAGATTAAGGGCAGTTTAGTCGGACACACGAATAACATGCGCCTGCTTCGACTAAAACGCCAGTGTACAGATATTTAAAAAATGGTCAGTACTTTCTAATATGACGCTACGCTTGCTCCAATTTTGAGAACCGATGCGACACATGTTCTAACAGTTTTCAAAATAATTTAATTCGATTAGATTCAAAAGACAAATCAATAAACGTGTGTCGGAGTAGAAGATTTGTTTGCGAGTTGTTAAACATAAATTAGCACAGGGCGGCTCGCGACTTTTGTTAGTGGGGTGCTACGACAAGAATGTTTTAAGCATTATTTTAATTTTTTTTTGTGCCAATAAAAGCTCATAAACACATAGAAAAAAAATATTGCAGGATAAAAGCGGGAAGAGAAAATAGTTTAAACTTATATAAATGACGATGACTACTTATATATATAACACGATGACTACTTATTTATATGTCGATCACTACTGATGATTTGAATTTTTTTATCTTAGTATTAAGTAATATTAACAAGTACCAACAAAAAAAAAGGAAACAACGGAAAAATGTTCTCACTTTGTTATTAATAATTTTTTTATTGAAAATGTGAATGCTGCAGTTCCGCGGTGTTATAGTAGGAGCCGCCTCTGGATTCTAATGTGCAAAGCCTATTATTTCATTTCGCCCCTTGTGTAAGCTATGTTTCGTCCCAGCTTTCCGTCCTAACTGAAAGACCCCATGGGTAAGGGGGGGGGGGGGGTTGGTAACGCAACACCTTTCCTCTTGAGGGGAAGCAAACCCGCCCAGCCCTTTAGGAACACAAATGGATAAAGGCAAAACAATGGATTTCGCCCCTTGTGTAAGCTATGTTTCGTCGCGGGTTGCCGTCCTAACTGAAAGCCCCCATGGGTAAGGGGGGGGGGGGGTTGGTAACGCAACACCTTTCCTCTTGAGTGGAAGCAAACCCGCCCAGACCTTTAGGAACATAATAGGATAAAGGCTAAGCAATGGGTATTACATTAACGTTGTCAAGGAGTAGTGGTGATCTCTACACTTAACCTAAAAGTATTGAACCTTGTTTTAGACAAAGAATATATATATATATATATATATATATCCTACAAATGTATATCTCAAGACCTAAACAGCTCTCAGAATTAAAATTCTATCTACCAGTTTGCAGTGTGGCAACATACATTAAAAAATCGTTGTTCACCATTAAAGAAGAGACTGTGGTGAAGGTTAGAGATTGCTATGGATAAGAAGAATTGGGACACACTGGTCTGTCCCCTCCCGACTATATAGATCATACTGGCATTTCTAATATTTTAATTTGAACTTGAAAAATGTCCATAATATGTAAATTTCATTCAATTTCATCTAAACGTGTGTCTCCCGAATAAAACACGGCAAAAATATATTGCAAGATTCGTTTTAAGATTCCTACTTGATTTAAATTTACAATTTAAAAATTTATGAATAGGCCTATAACTGCGTCCGCAGTTCTATTGTTAAAATATGTTATAGTGTGAGGAAGCAAAATTCTATGTTTGAAATATGTAATAGTGTGAGCACACTAAATTCTATGTTTAAAATATTTTATGTTATATTGTGATCAAATTAAGTTCTTTGTTTGAAATATGTAATAATGTGATCAAACTAAGTTTTATGTTTAAAATATGTAATAGTGTGATCAAACTAAGTTCTATGTTTCAAATATGTAATAGTGTGAGCAAACTAAGTACTATGCTTGAAATATTTAATACTGTGAGCAAACTAAATTTTACGATTGAAATACGTAATAGGGTGAGCAAACTAAGGGCTATGTTTGAAATATGTAATAGTGTGATCAAACTAAATTCTATGTTTCAAATACGTAATAGGGTGAGCAAACTAAGTGCTGTGTTTGAAATATGTAATAGTGTGATCAAACTAAGTTCTATGTTTGAAATATGTAATAGTGTGATCAAACTAAGTTCTATGTTTGAAATATGTAATAGTGTGATGAAACTAAGTTCTGTGTATGAAACACAAAAATTAGTGTAGCACTAGACATGTGCCGCTAGCCCAGTTTTAAAGACTAGAAAATAACAAAAACTTCCCAAGAGCTGGTTACGTCATATCAAACTGTACAATTTTTCCTATGTCAAGAAAAAAGTGTAATATCATTTGGTACCCGACGTAACATTATGTAAACATTTACGTCAATGAAAAAATAGTCAGTTAACTTGGTTAGGGGATTGTATGATAGCCCACCTAGAGGTTTAGACATACTTTATTTGCTAGACATTATGGTGAAATTAGGATTTCCCCTTTTCAAGGATTTCGCTTATTCCAGGAAAACGGGGAACAACCTTTTTCTAATTCCGTCAATCCTGGGATACAATAAAATCAATTTAAATTACATTGTAAACTGAATTTAATATAAAAGAGATAATTAGTTTAGTTGTTAATAACGTTGTCTATTAATGAAAGTTGTTTTTGGTCAGTTGGGTTAGGGTCACTTGCTTCATTTTCGACTTCTTATATCAGTAATGGAGATCTAGCTAATAATATGCTTGTTAAGCAAATGTTGGATATAACCACCTGTAGTTCATGGATTCAGCAACGTACCTTACCACAGCGGTTCTCAACCTGTGGGTGGCGACCCCTTTGGGGATCGCACGGCCCTTTCCCAGGGCTCGCCTGAGACCATCTGAAAACACATATACTCTACAATTATAAAGTATTAACCAAAATAATTTTGTGGTTGGGGGTCGCCACAACATGAGGAACTGTATTAAAGGGGTCGCGGCATTAGAAAGGTTGAGAAACACTGCCTTACCAGAACCAGAAAAATGAACTGTAGTAATATCAATACGACCATACTAATACAATGAACTGTAGTAATGTCAATACGACCAAACTAAATACCCCGTCAAGACCAGTGTGCTAACAATGAATGACAGCTAAAAATGTCAACACCAGTGTACTAACAATTACAGCCATAAATGTCAACAACAGTGTACTAACAACTACAGTCATAAATGTCATCACCATGTCTTTTGTTGTAGTTTATTTTACCGACAAGTTGTTAAGTTCTAAAGAAAAGTGATCCAATGTCGATGTAACTGCCTCTAACAAATCTCGTGACTTAGTAATGTCCTTAAGGGGATACGTGCCGCTAATGTTCCTGTCTTTTTTAAATGAACATCAAAACACTTGATAAAAATTGCCAGCTGGGCAGTGTCTGTCATAACTGTGTTTTAATCATGCTGGAACATAATTATTGTTACGGTAGAAGCTTCCCTTGTTTACATCGTGTTCACTTCTTGTTGTTCGTTCATCTCGTGCATGAACTCTGGGTGACTCCAAGTTTTTCGACGATGGGTGTGGTTTAGTTATAATCTGTCTCCCTTGACCATGATTACATTTAAACACATTACATTGCCAAATTCCGTAGAGCATACGAGATGGGCCGAGATAAAGATTCAATGCGTAGCCCATTTCCTGGAAAAGTCGCCATGAAAGACTATAAATAGGGGGCGTAAGAGAGAGCTAGATGGAGACTATCTCTATGAAAGACTAAAAATAGGGAGCATAAGAGAGAGCTAGAAGGAGACAGCAAGACAAAGAGAGGGTGAAAGAGATTATGACACGATTCAATTGAGCAAGACTAATAGACTGACATCCTGTACTGTCGTATATTCTGTTTATTGTACGTGTGTTCACCTTCCCAACATTGTACCGGTGCCAGTTCATTGCTGTACTGTAAGTAAATAGCCTTAGTTTAATAATATTTGATTTTCTGTTGTCAAGTTAACTTACTAAATTATTATTTGTAATTAGCCCTAGTTTGGGTATCGTTTTTTTATTACTGTATGTATTTAACGGTATCATCCTTTGTTGTGTACTGTTTGCCACGAGCCATAGAGTCAAATAAGAGATGAAATTCTCTCATAGCGGTGTGTAAACAATAAAATATAAACTCAGATGCTCAAATTTTCAAATTATCTTCAATAATTGTTTCCAATGCCATCCACACGCCTAGTCATAGTCTGACTAAACAGACTCATTTTTTTTTTTTTTTAGAAATCCTTCTTTTCTGGAAACAGCATTTCAGCCGCGCTCTCCAAACATTTTCTTAATCATTTCACCATCTGAATAGGGTTTCGATTTTATTTTATTTTTTTGCCTAGTATCATGGCTAATGCATAAGTAGCGTTTACATAGCATGTTGACTCTAAACCATAGACATAGAGATATGCTCTAAACCCGCTCTAGTA